TCATGGTTTTTTAAATAAAATTAGATTTTTCCTTTTGTCGTTTTTGTTCAAGAACTTGTGATGTCTGAAAATGAATCTGCGCTAAAAGAGCGCCATGATCATTTTTCGAATATAAGTTTGTCTCGAAAACTTATTTTTACTATGAAACGAATAAGCTGCAAAAAATTTTGGGAGGAAATTTTAGGGAGGCTCAACTAGTAGATTTTTCTAACACGTTAACTCAAAAGTTTTTCAGAGCTTGTACTCGTCGATCCCGGCGTCTGTGAACGGCATCGCGCCTCTTCCAGCTTCCAGCTCCCCGACGTCTTCCACCCAACAACATCCCGCTGGTCTCGCCTGTCAAAGACGCCGTCGTCGTTGATCGTGAGCCTTGGATCTCTTTTTCCATCAATGAATGAGTTGCCATTTCAGGACCAACTTCTGGGTCTGGAATGACGACATCGGGCAGTGGCACCAACCCGCAAATTCTCAAAAGCAAGAGCTCCGAGAGCATCAACTCGATGAACAATGTCGACGGAACGAGGTTATTTTGGATTTTTTTTTTTTGCCTAATATAAGATTCGATGCACATTGTTCATTAGAAAAAATAATTTTCCTAACTTTTCATGATGTCAGAAAGAAGAATTATATTAATGTTTCAGCAACGTCATGACGCACTCTGGCTCCAACGGCACGATCGCGTCGATCGAGGCGATTCCGGCGTCGACGGCGACCCCGACACCCCCCAGCCACCCGCCGCTTCCCCTGGAAGTGACGACTCCAGCCATGGCCACCAATTCTTCCTCCTCACAAGCCAACATGTCCATTCGCTCCGTCAAGACTGTGCAGGTGTGAACATGCCTGCTCAATGGAATCAGCAAGTGTCCACTTAAGGAGACTATCGACGACGACGGCCTTCTCAAGTTCCACGATGAGGAACAAGAAATTCAGCGGAGGAAGCAGGCTAAACTCATTGTGCGTTTTTTATTTGATTGGAAATTTGGTTATTGTTCATCTTAATTTTACCAATGAAAAAAAATTGAGATAGTGCTTGTGAGAAAAATGATAAAAATGGGCGAATGCGGAAAACTTTTTTGAGAGAGAACTTGTTCCAAACGCTTGAACTCCATAGGTGTTTTGAGAATTTCTGAATTTAGATGAAAGCTTTTTTCAGAGCAAAATTCGCGAGAGAGACGCCGAGATCCACGACCTGAAGAGTCGGCGAAGAAGTGAGTCGGAAAGGACGAACGGAAGTGTCGGGGCGACCAGCGGCTATTCACATGGCGGACGAATGGTAAAGCTTTTTGATCCATGAAGATCGTATGTTGGTCTGTGGAATGATCGTTGGTATGAAAAAAAAGACCAGCGAAAATTCGAACGACGATTTTTCTGATTTTTTATATCGCTAGGGAACTTTCCGACGAATCTTTTTCCGACTTCTTTTCACGATAAACTCTTCGTTTTGAATCTTCCTATAGTAGGTAGTTGATGCATGATTAGAAAAACAAACAAATAGAAAAAAGTTAATACATGTTTTATGAACCGAAAAATATAAGGGAAAAAAGTCGGAAAGTTTCCTGGCAATATGAAAAAATCGGAAAAGTCGCCGTTCGAAAATTCGCTGGCTTTTTTTTTCCTACCACCGAATGATCAAGTGGCTCTTATTTCGTTATATAAGGCTTATTTTAACATAATACTAATATAAAATTGAATTTTTGAATCGAAAACTTTTGAAAAAAACGACAGTCCACCAGTCAGTATCGAGGCGAAAACAATCCAGGTCCTGCGCGGAAAAAAATATGCGGTAGAGCGCACGGGTTGTGTGAAGATTTACGGAGATGGTGCATTCTAGAACAATGGGAGTTTTCAGCGTTCCTTGTGCGAAGTTGAGTCGGACAGCGAGTCGCTGGAACGCGCTCTGTCGGACATGTCGGTGGTGGATCCCTCGGAGGTGACCGTTCGGTCTGGCCATGGCTGGGAGGTCAACCGGACCGAGTGCACCCTCTGCGGCAAGATCTACTCTCTGCTCAGCGTCAATGCTGAAGATCGCGAGCATCACTGCAGGTATAGAACCTTTTTTATATCAACGAGGAATCTCACTGTTGTTTACAAAAAATTATTATTCGTAAAAGTTTCTGTAGAAGGTCTGAATCTAGGGCTGGAGAAAAAAAAGCTTGAGTTCGATTGTGAAGTTATTGAAGTTGGCGATTTATTGAGACTTTGAAAAGGCATAGTTCATTCACCACTGACTCTAGGAATTTTTTGAAAGCCTCAACAAGATTAGCGAGACAGTATGTGAAAAGGAGAGCTTTCGATATCTCTATAATATTTTGTTATACTTTCCTTTAAAGCCGTCTTGAAAGCGTCCCTATGAACTTCAAATTTAGAAATTGCGGTCACTCTGTCTGCCAAAGCTGCTCGCTCAACCGCATCCACATGATTGAAGAAGGCCGCGGCTTGATGAAAAGAGTCTGCGACCCGTGTTACGACAATATGAACGGCACGAAACCCAACACCGACGGCGTCTTGTCAAGGTTCGAAGAAATTCATGTGTTTTTCATTTTTTCATACTGTAGATCAACCTTTTGTCCATCTCTTTCTCATTCAGTTCTATGTCTCAAAAACACTAGTCAATCCTAGCCGCTTCAAGCAAGCCGATTTCAGAACGGTATCCCTGAATGAGGTGACGTCGCTAGATGAGCAGAAACCCAACAACGTCGTCCTCTTCGGTGGCACGTCTTCCGGCGCTCTGGCGACACCGGCCGCCATTCCGTCGCCGTGCAAGTCGACGACGTCGACCACGACGATGACGCCGCCGCGACCCGTGACCGGAAATTCGCCGGCCGACGGCACGTCTCCGTCCAACTTCTCACGCATCGGATCTTCTCAGGCGGTTAAGGGCTGACCTCTTGTGCCACATGTAGATAAACCCAACGTGTAGATTTTTTTGTTTCCCATTCTGTTCTTCCAATCGATTTTTATTTGGGTCAAATGCTCCTTTCCAAGTATTTTCGTTTGTTTTTCTTTGAAACATCACTAACATTTATGTAGGTTGTTTTCATCATAATAAAACCTCGAAGGTTATTAATTTTTTTCTATTTTCTATTATTTTTTTTATCTGCGTTTTTTCTCGTGCTCATCTCAGTGAGGCAAGTATTATTCGTGGACTTTTGTTCTCAAAAAGTTTTCTTTCAGACTTTTGTTTCTTATATATTTTGCGCCAAAGACGTACCCCCAGCAGTAACTTTACGTGTATATTGCGGAATCTTTTGTATCACTCCATTTATTTCGATTCTTTCTTTTTCCCATTTCGAAGAGAAACAATTTCAACTCGATTTCGCAGTGTTTTCATTCCAACATGACACTTGCAGTTGTTTGATTTTCTGGACACAGATCATTTCAAAACCTGCACATATATACGCGGAGGATACGGTTTTCTATCGAATTTCATAGTAAATTAAGTGTTCCTCATGTTTATCTTTTTTCCGTAAAAATCAAAATCAAGTTGTTTTTTTTGTTTAATTTTGATCGTGTTTTCATTATTCACACAATTCCTCGGTCAGACAATATTAATGTAGGAATAGATATTTGTGACGCGTTCAGTGTGATTTTAGAGTTATTCAACCAAGTGACTACTTAAGAGTATTCTATAGCTCTACATTGAACACTCTCTACAATCATCTGTGTAAAAATCACTTTGAACGCGTTATTATATAGGGACAACTTCTTAAAATCATAGTTTTTGTTTTGATTTTTAACCTAAAGTAAATTTCAGCTACGGAATGTGAGCCGTTGCGTTTTTTTTGTGAGTTTTCCGAGGTCTCTTATAAAGAGCTCTTGTAATGTAATTCTTTGATTATCATTTTTCTTTTCTTCTTTTTTTAAAATAATCGTTTAGCTTTTCGTATTGTGAGTCGAATTGTTTTAAATGTGTATAGCGAAAGAGCCTAGCTTGAGAACAGACGTGTGAACTCTCTAATTGTACAAACGAGCAGAAGAAAAAGCACTTTCCCAAGTTAATGACGTTTAAAAACTGCTCTTTTTTATTCCTCCGGTTATTTACTCGGTTATTTTGTGTGTGATTATGCAGTTCATTCACTCAACTCTAGGTAATTAGATGTATTTTTTCCAATATTTTCTCACCTGCCATCAAAATCATTTTGCACTACACCTTCACTGTGATTCCCATGTTAACATTATCATCAAGCCTTTTTTCGGTAGTTTTCGATTGCTCCTTCTCCCCCAACAGTCGTGTAACGTCTACTGGTTCCACTCGTTTCGTAGCTTCTTATCATTTCTTTTATATATTCTATTCTTCATTCTCTCTTCAAAAGCTTTTGTAAACTGTAGAAACAAACTATTGTACTTTATGGCACAATGAGCAAAAAATGTAAATATTATGTTACTATATATGGCACAAGAATGAAGTAATTTTTGTTTAAAATTCGTTGTAAATGAAGAAAAAATGACAAGATCTACACAAATTTACAAGAAAAGTGCAAATAAACAAGATTTTTTTGAATTTTTTTCAACAATTTTTTTATCAAAAAGTAAAAAGTACTTTTTCAACGAGAAACGCCCCTTTCATGGCTAGAACAACCTCAAAAAGAAGTTAGAAAATGATCGTTTCCAGCCAATCAGGGTAATATTTCGATAGGGCGTACTTGCAGTCATGAATGGAATTGAATTATTAAGATTTTAGCGTAAACCTCTTAAGATTCTTCAAATTTGCATGAAAGTCAATAAATAGGCTAGAATATATGAAATCAGTCACCACCGCTCAATAAATTGATAATTTTGAATTTACTCGTAATCTGAGGGACTCGGTTGACTGAATGCAAATATACATAGGAAAAGTCATCTAGAAAGTGAAGATAGAACATGATCAAAGCGATTATTTTGGCGATAAATAGAAAAAAAATGATTATGAAGTTCGATCACCGTAGAATTTGATATAAATTGTGTTCGGTTAGATACCGTCAAATGAAAAATGACGCTTATGGAAAAACTCCAGTTCGAGTTCAAGAGTTCAACGCGCTCAAAATACGAACACGAGCTTTTTTGCTTACGTGGGCCGCGGCGCCCAACAGAGAGACGAGTTGCTTTGGCGAGTATTCCTGTAAAGTTCGGCTGTTTCTCTGAGAAAGAACTTAGCCCATTGAATACAAAATCAAATACGCCGCTTCAGGGTAATTCCATTCAAAACGTTTTGGTTCTTCAGAATCTTCCTGGGAAAAAAAATCCAGGACTACTTGGAGAGGACAATAAAATAGCCCACACCTCTACAGAAGTTACTGAATTTTAGCCACTAAAGTGGGCGACGAAAACGACAGAACCCTAGAGTGGCCGCTAAATCTTTCCCCGTCTAACGGTCATTCCTATCTCGCGGTAGTCGCTTTGAACGCGGCATCTTCGAAGAATCTACACAGAACTTAGTGCAGCCGAAAAATGCTCTTTATATTATTCAAGAAATAGAGAATTTATTTTTATGTTGAATTCTTCTGTTTGACTGAGAGTTTCGAAATTCTGAATAACCACAAAAAAAGGAAGATTATTCATTTTTATTTTGAAAGATCCAGAAAGCTTCTGAGGACTTCTATGAAAATCCAGAATCAATCCGAACTGTTTCTTTTCAGGAAATGAAAATAGAAATGTTTTCATTTAGTTTTTCACAAAACCTTCTGGGCTATAAGCCCCCAAGTTATATTTCTGTACATGAACGTCGGAAACTTGAAACGAACCGAATGACTGGCGATCCATTGTTCCAGGCCGCTTTCGGGCAAATAGTAGGCCTTGATGTAGCTATCGACAAATGCGGCGTGAGGAACGGGTCTCATTCCCGAGATCGGCTCAAGCTGCGAACCAAGTTTAGAAAAAAAATTAGGGGAAAAAAATCACTTTTTTTAACCCAAAAAAACAAGAACTCTTTCAGAAATTTTTTTCTGTTAAGTTTTTCGGCTCAACACGAAATACTTCAAAATTTCGTTTTTCTTATTTTCGTTTTTTTGGACTAAATATTGGAATTACCTTTATAAGAATATTCTGAAAATCGAGTTGCATCAGAGCTCTCCCTTCCGTCGAACACTTTCCACCTTCACAATACCTAAAAAGCCATTATTTATAACTTTCTCCTGAATTGGGAAACCCTTGAACGAGTGCTTTGAAGGTGTAGTAGATGGCCCGATTCCAGAAGAGCTTCTGAGTGGCCTCCGTAACGTTGACCTGTCGTTCTTCAACGGTACTCACACGTAGTCGGAACGCTTCGAAATCCTGGTAATTTTCAAATTTATCCTTATAAATTTTAAGAAGTGGTGGCGTTTGGAAGATCCAACTCTTTTTGATCTCTCATAACAGAAATTGATTCTTCCGGACCGAAAAGTGAAATTTACAAAAAGAGAAGCATTTCCAGAAACAAAAATCACCTGAAGGACCAAGTCGACGTAGGAGCTGTGATGGCTGCGGAGCTCGGCGATGTCCCATTTGGTGGCCGCGACGCTTTCGACGATCTTCGAGATGCGAAGCGCGCGGCTCGCTACAGCATCCACCAGAAGCAGTCGGACGTCTGCCACGCTCGGCAAAACCTGACAGTTTTCAAAAATGAACAAGGAGAGATGGTGTGCAAAACTGTGAGAAAAAACCATTTCTGGATTACGAACTGAAGTGAGCGTCAGAAAACGAAGCACTCACAAGAGGTAAAAATTCCATAAAGTGATCACTTGAGGGATCGAAACATCTCTAGAGTGTCCATTTGGAAAAAAAGAAGTGTTGCGCAAGCGCTCTTGAAAAGGTCATGGCGTGGTCAGAGATCAAAAAAATGTGCCTTACAAAAGTTAGATCAAAAGATGAATCTTCGACAATTTTACCTGCGAATAGAAGGACTCCATTCGTTCCACGAGAGCATCAGTTTTGGATTCAGGATAGAGGGATTCAATCACCGGCCTCACCAGGTCGAGTTGACGTGCCGTGAACTCTCTATAGGACGAAAATACGGACCAGAAAAACAAAAACATAATAATCGATAAACTTAATGTAGCGCTTATAGAAATTCAAGCCTCAACGATTCCGAAAAGCCGGAAAGCCTTATTAAAGTTTAGTGAAGGTAAAGCAGAAAACCTTTTTTCAATAGTGACTTAATGGTTTTATTTTAAAGCAGTCATGTTAAGCTGATTCACGGCTTGATTCATCTATACGGGTCCTGACACGATAAATGAAGAGACAGTAGTCTGTTAAGTTTCGAATGTCAAGAAGCCAACTCCGCCCCTAACAAGGCTCTGTGGATGGCTCGTTCTCCAATTGGTTTGATCTACGCATGATGGGCGGAGTTTGAGCGATGAGTTAAAATTAAAAATCTGAACACTCTGGTTGGTGGATTACTCTTATTCACGCTAGCTTGGAAGGCACAAGAGCGTGGTACTGTCTGCGATCTCCACCAAACAGACAATGTTTCTTCTTTATCGTGTCAAGGCCCTCTTCGATAGCTCAAGCCTGCCATGAATTTTCCATTTTCCTCTAGGAATCAACTCAAAAAATGTTTTTCCATTTTCCTCTAGGAATCAACTCAAAAAATGTCTCTGCATTTTCTTTGTTTTCAAATTTTCAAGGCGCAGCTCATCCTCGTGAATAAAATTAGACGCAAAAACCAAAAATACACAGTAAAACGGACAACGACTCAATGGCGATTATCCTCTCGGCGGCTCCAAAAAGGGTGTCGATGAAGCCCAGCTGCACGGCGGGGCACAAGGAAGGCAGTCGGAGGTCGTTTCCCTGGATCTTTGAATCATTGTTCGCACTTTGAAAAGATCCAAACTGAGGTGCTGTTTCCTCGAAAAAGGGCCGTTTTGAAAGGAGAAGACGTCTTGGCGTTAGAAGAAGAAGAAGAGGAAGAAGCGCCAGAAAGTCGACGATGGATCGAGGAAATGACGACGTCGAGTCTGGCTGGTCTTTCCACGAACTCTGAGCCGTCGTTACCGAACAAGTGCACCAGCTGAACAAGAAAGGTGAAATCCAAAGAATTGGAAAAAAAAGGAATTAAAGACCTCGACAAGCTGTTTTTTTAAAAAAAATTTAGTGATGCTTAAAACTAAGGATTTTTCCACAAAGTTTGAAATGAAATGTTTAGTCATAAAAATCTGAATAACTTGTGAAAAAAATAAGAAAGTTGAAATTGTCCATGTTGCTCAAACGGACTTGAACATCGTACCAAAATGGTCATTTTCAAACTTTTTTTAAAATTTAGATTTTTTTTTTTTGGTTGCTGGCTGCAATTTCAAGCTGGCTAGACCTTTGAAGATCTAAACAAAAACATACAATAAGCGCAAATCGTTCTTCTAGGGTCAATGTGAAGAATTTTGAAAAGAGTTAAAAAACCAACAGAAGCGAAGAAAAGCTCGAAAAGGTCGGCGACAGCCGGTGCGGACCTGTCGCAGACCGACGGCAAAAGTGCGGTCATCCTTATATAACGACCTCAAAATGTTCATTTTCTCCAATTTTCCATCAAAATTGTACCAAAGAACCGCAACAAGTTCAGAGACGTGTTGCAAGCATTGGGCGGGGCTGGCTGAGAACTTGCAGAATTGGGTGGATTTTCCGCCAACGGATCTTCCGAACTAAAAGTCCTTTAAATGATATTGGTAATGGAGGATTTTCTACCATTCAACTCCAGCAAAATCATTTGCATCAGAATAAGTCGACGAAGAATGTCTCTGTTCAGATCGGACACTGTAGGATGACTGGTGTCGTGACTGAACATTTGTTTTTTTTTTTTACTTTTCGATTTCGAGAAACACGAAAAATTTGAATTTGAAGAGCCTTTAGAAAAGTTGGGTCCTACGACGAGGCGGCGCGACTTCTACGCGCGAAACTCCAAATTTTGAAATGACTTGGGCCTTTTTTTGAACAAAATTTGCAAAAGTCACTATTATTGCGATTTATCGCTGTAGGATCCAATTTTTTTCAAGTGCTCCCAAAACTTCAATTCTGCGTATTAGGCGAAGTCGTTTTGAACGAAGAAAGTTTCTTTTGAAGTGGCGAAAAATAATTTTTGCATGACATATTTAAACAAACTTGGTCGCTAATCTCTCAAGACATAGGTAAAACGGAAAAGTTCCTTTGAAGATCCTCAAAGGATCCTGAGAGGGAGATAAAAGCTTCCTCTTAAAGCTCCTAAAATGATGTGAAAAAGCTTTTGAGCTCCTCTGTCATAGCCTCAGAGGATCCTTTTTGAATCCGCTCGAATCTTTTTAGTTGCTTTCCAGCATCTTTTTTGTTAGAGGATGTGAAAAAATGCAAAAAAAATGAAATGACATAAAAAAGATCTGCTGAGGACCCTTTCAAGGTCTTTTTTTGAGAAAAGCTTTTGGGGAGCTTTCCTGTTTTGCCTGAGAGATAAAGCTTCAAATTAGTCTCGCAGATTTTCAATAGATGCCCAAACACATATCAAAATGACCTCCCTTACGAAAAACGAAATCTAAAAAACCTTGATCTGAGAGACGCTGAAGGGGTTCTTCCACTCGCTGGGCATCAGGACGCCCTCGAGTTGTTCGCTGCTCAAAGTGGACGCCAGGGCCTCTTTCCAAGCTTCACGTTCTCTTTCTTCGCGCGATTCTTTCAGAAATTCAAAATCCTGTAAATTTCATTTGATTTACGCAGTTTTCCGAGTTTTACCTGCAAATCGAAAATGGTAAATTGCGCAGAGACGGGACACAAGGTGAAGGACTCGTTCTCTATGAACATGGCCAGTTCCTCCATCCTCTCGCTGAATATTTAGTTGCACAGAAATTTTTTCAGTAGATTGACCTGATTTATCATTATTTTTTTCTTTTTGGAGTAGTGTTTTCACCGTCAGCTCATCGAATAAATACAGAAATTTTTCAAGCAACTATTTCACAAAATATCGATTGTGTCAAGATAAATTTATGAGCTTATTCATGCAATAAATGAAGGACCATAGGACCTTCTATAAGAAGTGCTAGAAAAAAAGCATATTGGAAACAAGAAATATCGTTTTTTGTTTGAAAAATTTCTTCTTTCAAACTTTCGCTTGAAGTTCAAGTAACTGAGTGAAACTCAGAAATCCGTTAGGAATTTTTTCTTTCCAAATTTGAAAATTCGCACCGATGATAGCGTGAAAAGTAGGCCGAAGTCTGTCTTTCGATGCAACGCGCAAGTTCAGCGCAAGGGTGCCCGAAATAGGTACGACCAACGCTTCGAAACCTGGAAAAACCGTGAAAAAAATATGAGTGGAGAAAGTCAGCTAACAAGGTTTTCATAGCGTAGCTTTTCATAACTCTTTTCCTTTCATCGAAAACTTGAAAAATTTTGAGTAAATTATTCGAAAAGAAATGAAAGCGTAAAATCAACTTTTATCAACTGTCATGTTCGGAAACTTTGAATTTCTATCACGTTTAAAAACCAATTGTTCCTTATCATTTTTATTAAATTATTTACTTTTTCAAGGCCCAGAGAAATAACTGCTGAAATCCTCAAAATAGCCTATTTTGACGGTTTGGGGTGACGTTTCTCAGATACAAGGAATTTGTGAAGGTAAGAACTTCTAGGAACTCTATCTGGCACATCAAGCACTGTTCTGGCCGATTTTCAGAAAAATCCCAACCAAAAAGTATAATAACCTTTCTTGTCAGAGAGATGGCACTCGAAATTGAGGATATCAAAAGTGTGAGCCGAAGTATAAAACTCGCCTATTGACCATGTCGACAATGTCCAGGATGTGATCGAACTTGAGGACGACGAATTCTCGCGACTCCAAAAGTGACATCATTCGATTCAAAGCCGTCGTGAAGATCTCTTTCCGGGACTCCCGCAGCTCCGCGTTTATCGATCGGAGTTCTGATTAGAATTCTATTTTTCGAGTACGTTCTTCCTTCAGAAGTACTAGGCACGTCGATGACGTCTTCGGCCTCCCTCTGCTGTTCTCTCCGATCTTCTTCTTCGCTGTGAAACCTCAGGAACGAGTGGAAGGCGCAGAGAGTTCGGCAGAGGACAAATCCCAATTCCCGTAGAGTGACGACCAGTTGATCGCTTTCCAGTTCCTTGAAAAAAAAAAACATGGGTGAATCACTGACAAGAAATAAAACTTATTCAGAACTTGGAAAATCATGGAAATCAGCTATCAAATTTTTTTGATTTTTTTATTTATTTATTATTTTAGAATTCTCAAGCTGAAATCCTTACCTTTTTTTGAGAATGAGTGCTCCAAAGTGTACTATACTAGATATTTTTGTAATAAATTGGAAATCGCGGATTTTTTTTCTAAAAAGTAATCAAAAGAATAAAAAAATAAGTTTAGCAGGTTCTGACGGTTCTAAGAAATTTTTCAGAAGACTCTATAAAATCTCCGCAAAAATTTTTTCCGTGAAAAAAGTTCATAAAGTCGAGAATATTTTTATAAAAACCTTCAGAATCGGTCGAAAACGCTATTGAAACTCAGTTTTTGTTCAAAACTTTTTTTTTCATTTTCAGGCGAGAACAAATACTTAACTTTGTTCCAAGTAATGTTAGAATGTAATTGTTCAAGAAGAAACTATGGAGGAGAAAAAACTGATCTAATATTGGTTTTGTAAGAACATAAAGGCGAAGGAATGAGATCAACGAAAAAGGCCAATCGTTTAAACTATTTCTGAAACGTACCATACACAACTTCGCGTAGGAAGTCTCATTTTGTTTCAACCCGTTGTTTGAAGAATCTATATATAAAATAAATGAAAGAGAACTTGAAAAAAGAAAAAAAAAACCATTTTTCGAATCCCGAGCGCTCATCTTGTCCAACAAAACGGCCTGGGACGAATTTTCAAGGGCGGCATGGAAAGAAGCGACCAACTTCGAGGGAAGGTCCTGTCCGAAAATAAAATATCCAGTGCTTCGAAATGAGGCGAAACCTCGACTTTGTTCAGCATTTCGTAGGCATTGAAAACGAAGGCGTATCGGTCTTGATCGAAAACCATCACAAGGGTGTCCAAAGACTTGGAAAGTTCCGTTTCCAGCAGAGAACTGATCCCGGCCAACTTGGTGACCACGTCGCTGAACAAAACGACTTTATTTCGACTGAGGTGTTCGGGAAATCGATAAAAAGTGCACGAAATTGACAAAATGCCAGAAGATTCAGTCATTGATACTGATGTTAACTTCTACAAGATTCCGATTTTTGCACTTTTAAAATATACTATCTTTTGAAAATCTTTCAAGCGTTATATTATATTGAAAAAACAAGAAAAACTTCAGAAATTTCGGTTTTTCAGTTTTTAGTTCACAATTTTTGTTTCAGCTTCAGAGTACGATTGAAATAAAATCTCACTTGACACAACTGAAATGTCGGAAGCTTTTGGCTGCATCTTGCGCTTCTACGCACATACGAATCGCCAATGGGAACTGGCCTTCCTAAAAGAACTTTTTGAGGTACCTGGAAACCCTAAAAATACCTGAATAACTTCTTGAATGCGATATTCAGATTCGTAGAAGGTTTTCAGAGTCAACAACGTTCGTCGAAGATTTTTGAGCAGGTATTTCTTCTTTTCGTTGGCAATGATACGTAGAGCCGTGGTGGATTGTTCTTTTGCCACGCTCAGGGATCTTGAAAATATCATTATTTTCGAAGGAACTGACAAAAATGACAAAGAAACCCAGAAAAAGGAACCTTCGAATGGCCACAACGGAAGACAACAATTTGGATCAAATCCTGCCTGATCTTCTCCATATCCGAAATTTGGGCACCATAGGACGGTGACTGCAATTTCGAGCATATTATCTCAATTTGATTCCCTGGAATCTCAACCTTCTGCATGATCAAGTTGGAAATTCGTTTCGAGACCACTTGGAGCTGAGATTTGAGCCGTAAATGTTCTCTGGATATGTCCTCGTAGCACATCTCGATGTCAAACAGTTTCTGTTTTTCAAATCAATGTTTCAATTTATAGGAAAGAAGCAAAACCGTGAGTTCATAGCCGATGGCGTCGAAGTCGTGTTCGACGAAATAGGCGGCGTCGATGTTCTCAATGACTTCGTCGTCCGTTTTCTGCTCCGAAGACCTCGTTCGGGTCACGGAGTTCTGGAGGATGACGTATAATATTCGAAGACAGCTTTTTCGAATTTAAAAGCAAGGCCATTTTTTAAATGAAAAGGAAGAGCGAAAAACTGTTCTGAACGTTTTTTTTCTAGCTTCTCGTTCATTTCTTCTCAAAAAAGACAGTTTCAAGTATCACTCCTGTAAGATTTTTCAAAGAAAAAGAAATCAAAAACTCCTTAAAACTTTCCGGAATTTTTTATGAGAAAATTGATTTTTTTATCAATTGTTTCTAACGTAACTTCCTATAGTCTGTTCAGATTTCAAATGTCAAGTCCCCGCTGAAGCTCCGCTCCCTAATGGCGCGATAAACCAATCAGAGAGCGAGCCATCCACAGAGCGTTTTCGAATGACGTCATTCTACTTGACATTCAAAATCTGAACAGACTATATTACTCAAAAAAAAACTTCAAAAAGAGGCTTTCTGAATCGCCAGAAATCATTTTTTCAAGACATTCCTGATATTCAGCATTGTTTTCAATTATTAATGTTCACGTATATTTGAAAAAAGCATTAAGATAGAAAAAAAAACCTTCGTCAAAGCGATCACAGGCTTCCGAACCAAAAATTCAGAAGTTGACGGTCCTTCGTAGGGAGACAAGACAAACTCGCTCATGTCTTCCATCTGAATATTCGGATTGGAAACAGAACTTCTGAAGGAAATCAACCCTGACGTCTTCATCGATCGACAACGACTCTCCGAGGTCTTGGACCTTCCTCGACAAAGTTTCTTTCAACTTATTCATTGTGAAGACAACTCTAATGGATTATCTGGAGCTGAAAGAAGGCGAAAATATTGAGAATTCCTCATAAAAACGTACTTTAAGAAGGGCAAATCGAGAAGATTGCTAATTTTATCGACGCCGCTAAGGTGCATCTTAAGGACGCGACGAATGCAGAGGAGCGCGATTTGAAACTGACAAACATCCTTCGCCGCGCAATTCGGAGCTTATTAGTAAAGTATTGGATCACAACGAATTAGAGTCATACAAAGAGAGAGCGAAAACAACATTTATCAGAAACGACAAAATACATTGACATCGCAAACCGGGAAGCGATAAACAAAAAAAAATGCAGGAAATTTCATAATTAGGAAGAACAAAAAATAAAAAATAACATTTGGAATCTTCGATTGGTCGAGAAAAAAAGACATCCAATGTAGTAGGAAAAAGTACATCAAATTCTTAGGCAGTTTCCTGTTTCAGCTGCGCAGGAACGACATTTTTGACATCGGCCGAGCTTTCGACGGCCACAGAATCCCCAGAAGCATTCACGTTAGCCGCTCCGTTTTCCTTCAAAAAAGACTCTTTTTGAATTAAAGTTCGATAAAAAAGAGCTTCACTCTTACTTTGCAAAGAAAACTTTTGCCTCTTGTCTAATATTGGAATTTGTTTTGAACTACCTTCTTATGCGAATTTTTGCGGTTCGAGTTACGACGACGCTGTCCCTTCTTCTCGACATTCTCGTCGGTAGCGTTTCCACTCTCCTGAAAAATCATAATTTAAAGTTAATAAGTCTGTGTTCGATGTCTAAAATTTGAAAAACAGCTGAAAGCACTAACTAAGAGAACACCTAAAAATTTCCTTTCTTCTGAACTTCCCTGGGTGAATCAATCAAGGTCTCAAAATGACAAAAATTCAGATTAAAAAAAAAAAAAATCGAAATCCATATAAAGGTTCAATTGAAAAAAAAAACCAATTTCAAAACTCGAAGAAACCTTCCAAAAAATTTTCGGTTCTTCTTATAGTTATTTGATTATATACCTTAGCCGACTCGGCGTTTTCCTCCTTGCGGTTCGAGTTTTGGCGACGGCGTTGTCCCTTCTTCTCCACATTTTCATCGGTAGCGTTTCCATTTTCCTGGAAAATCGGGAATGAAATGGGGAAAGAAATTGTCCACAGCGGAATAAAAGTCTAAAAGGTACATGGGAAACCAATCTAATGCCGTGTTCAACGTGATTGCGCCAAATTCAAAATGGTTGTCAGAAAAATAAATAGATAACTAAATTTTGGAGAGTCAGAGACCATTTTGCATTTCGCGAAAACTACTTTGAACACGGCAGAATATTTAAAATGAATAAAATTTTGCAGCCATTGTCAAAAATTGAATAAATCTTTGCAACCTATTACTCAGCTAACTACAAAAAAGCTCCTTTCTCAAATGTTTATTGGATTAGTCAATCACGATCTATCTATGGTTAGCGATCCCGAAAAGTCAGTTTAAAGAAAAATCGACTTACATAGAAAAGGTCAAAAAATTACACAAAAAGGTTCAAAACTCGAAGAAACCTTCCTAAAACCTTTTCCATTTGCGAATCTTCTTTTAGATGTTTGATTATGAACCTTAGCCGACTCGGCGTTTTCCTCCTTGCGGCTCGAGTTTTGGCGACGGCGCTGTTCCTTCTTCTGCACATTCTCATCGGTAGCGTTTCCATTTTCCTAAAAAATCGGAAATCAAATCTATTAAAGCTTGCATGGACAAAATAAAATTATAAAAGCTACTTGGTGAATATTAAAAATCTGAAGTATTTAACAATAATCTCTTCAAAGGAATGGAGAAAAGTGGTAACAAGCAGTGCGTTCGATTACCTTAGCAGACAAACCATTAAGCTTTTAAACTATTTTTGAAAATTGCAAAACAAAATAAATTCCATTTTGGAATAAGTCGATATCTTGAATTGATTTCAGCGTCTCCACTGCTCACTCAGGATAAAACTTAACTATTTCTTATCAATCAATTCTTTCTTGATTACTGTAATACTTATGAATACCGGGTCAAAGTTTACTCTCCTTCTTCCCTTTCTTGGTTGTTATACTACGTTAATAACTGTACCTAATCTAACATTTATTATTTTTGTATTCGAATCCAGTGAATAAACCTATCACTATCCTGATAATCCCGTACCTGAGCCGAGTCGACGTTTTCTTGCTTGACGCGGTCGTCCTTGCGGTTGGACTTGCGACGCGGCCGACGTTTCTTGCGTCCATTCGAGTTCTCCGACTCGTGTTGGTTCTTGTCGGTCACAACTCCAGAGTCATCTCTGTTCGACTGTTCTCCGCTCTCCTCCCTGTGTTCTTCCTGGAAGCAAAACCTGTAATTATTTTGCAAAAGAAGAAGGATATACTTCGCCATTTCTCGGTCGTGGGTTCAAACGTCCACGAGCGCGTCTGACGTGACGAACCTGCCGACGAGGGGCTCGTCGGTCATCTTCCGTGTCAGTACTAGTATTTTTTTTCTTAGAATTCAATATTTTCATATCCTGCCCATGCTCGGACACCTTTTTATTTCATATTACTCCATCAAGCGAAGATGATTAACTTCACCATTAAGTGAACTGAAACATGGCCCAAAGCTTGGCTATTTTTTCAATTTCCCATGAAACAATAGCATTTGAAAAAAAGAAATATGATAAAATTCAGCTTCATTGTCTTTCAAAAACAAAATTTTCAACTCACGTTTCTGAAAAAAAAAGACTTGCTGAAAAAAAATCTTTCAAAACCTTAGACCTGGGCTTTCAGAAACTATCGCAAAAAAAAAAAAACAATTTTCTTTTTCTGCATTGAAATTTTTTCATTTTTTTTTCATTAGATTTTCAAACTTAATCAGAAGGTTATGAGTTACCAGAATACCAAAAATTTCAACGAAAATTCACTTTCTCGGCTGCTCCTCGCGGCTAGCCTCTTCTCTATTCTGGTCATCTGAAGTTAAAAAAATTGGTTTGAAATAAGAAAAGGCGTCATTTTACTTCTGTTAAATCTCCTGGGGCGTCGCGGACCATGTGGACCATTGTTGAACCTGCGCAGCAAGATACGCGAAAACCTGAGAAATTCCTTCAGGACTAGCTTTAATTTTGATCGAACCTAGAGCCGACGACATTTCCGCCGTCGGGTCCCGTGACGTTGGCCGCCTCGGGACCTTTGCTTCCTCGGACGACGTCGAAAAGAACCTCCTCCTCGTTTTCGAGAGTTCTCAGGAAAATCTTCAATTTTTCTTTTTTTTTTGCGAGAGACATTGAGACGAGACTTTGATGGTTGAAGACTTGGTGATAGCCGACTGGTGCACGAAAACGTCTCTTTCGTGGGTCTCGTCGTCGTCGCGAGCGATGAAGCCGTAGCGATTCAGGACAGAATACCACTTGACGTGCCCGTGGACGCCAGTCTCCAGAACCTGAAGCAATCATTGAAGTGGACGTTGAGGCTATTATGACAGATATTCAGAATCCCTTTTTTCAATTTTTTTTTTCCATTATTTCAGAACAGAATCGATTTTGGAAGATTCTTATCTTAAAATAATCAAAATGTGTTATCTTGAGTCTAAAACTCGTTACGTTTTTATTTTATTCGAGGAAAAAAATCAGTTTAGTCAAAAGCTTGGCGGTTCTCCACCTCCTTATTTCTTTGCTCCTCCTCGATGCGTCGGACTTGCTCCTCATAGGGAACGTAGTTGAACTGAAAGTCAACATTTGATCCCATTTTCTGAAAAGTCGCAAACTCGTCTGCCACCACGACCAACACGGCTTCTCTCCCGCGAATCGTGATCATTTTCATGACCAGAATCGCCGTTTTGAGGCTTTTCCTCGACCTTCAGGTCCTTGAGCTTCTGCCCCAGATCCTTCACGTTCTGGTCGTTTTCTTCAAAGTTATTCATGATTTTTATGAAATGCCTGCCAATTGCTCACCTTTGTTGTCCTGGGACACATTCTTTTGCTCGCCGGTCTTCGTGGACGACATGATGTTGTTGGTTGTGAAAGTTAAAAAAAAAGGGGAAAACCCTCTTTGCACCTTTTTAGTGGTTTTTTCTTAAAAGAAAAATTTAAAAAAAAAATTACTCTAGGCGTCAAAAAAAAAACAACAATAAATAAAAAGAAAACGAGGGATAAAAAGCTTTAAGTTAATCAGATTCTGTTTAAAAAAACTCTTGAGCCGTTCCAATGAGCGTAAAAAAACTTCGTACCCGTTTAGGAACGGAAAGTCGATTCTTTCCGTCCATTTTTAGTCATGCAAGACTTCTGCGCCTTTGAAAATCTCAACAAATACAACAAAAAAAATCACCTTGTAAATTTTCTAAACTCGAAAAAAAAATCTAGGAAACGGCATACACGCTTTTGCCATCAAAGAATGTGTCACAAATGGTTGCCGCCATGTGGAATGTTTAAAAAAGAACGGAAATTGAAATCGATGCCCCTCGTTTATAATCTGTTTGTTTTAAATCGTACAACGCTCATAGATGCTGCGAAGCAACCATTTGAACACAAAATGAAAAAGTGTGAAAAAAATTTTTAAAAGTTTCCAAGTTTAGGTTTACACGATTTTTCACGGCACTTTCTATATATTCTTTTTTCAATTTTTCTTTTCTTGATCCAATTTTCAGGTTTAAAAAATCTCAAGAAAACAAAAATGAGTTGAATTCAGTTAGCTCTCCATTTCGACTTAAAACGAAAAAAAAAAAGATTTTTGAGCTATTGTCAATGAACTTGTTTATTTGGTTTCTTTCTGATAATGACGAAAAAGCAAAAGAAAACTCCAAAGGGCTGCGTGTCAACGCGCTACCCTTCAATCATCCAATTCGGACACAATTCAAAAATTGAACACTAGTTTTCCTCGCAACATTTGACTGTAACTTATAATAATTGAAAAAAAAAAAAAATTCCACTTTTTTTGAATATGCCGGTTTGTGCTTCAGGAAATTCATTTTTTTATTCATGCGCCTTTAAAATAGTCATGTCAAAAATAAAATTCGTTTCACCTAACTAGTGATCAAAAACGCAACTTCATGCCGTGTTCAAAGTAATTTCCGCGAAATACAAAATGATCTCTGACTCTCCAAAATTTAGTGATCTTTTCCTTTCTCTAACGGGTATTTTGCATTGCGCGAAATCAAATTGAACACGGCATCAACAAGATAAACATGTAAAAATTGAAGGAAAAACAAAAAAACGTTAAATTATAGCAATATATATTGCTTGTGAGCCTGGAGGCGCGAAATCCTGTTTTGAATTTGCAAAAGCGCGGCGCGAATTCAAAAATCCGTGATCTACTTTCAAAATTCATGTCGCGAGTCTGTTCGCGGACGCCAATATAAAATTTCGAATATTAACAATAATTTTTTTACGGAGTTTACTTAAACGAATAACCTCACTTTTTTAAATAAGCCTGCATTTGATAATTAAAAATAAAGTTTTTTTGTCGGAAAACTTGGAACAACCAGTAAAATGAAACTTGAAATTGTTCCCAATCTCGAAAAATCGACGCGTTTTACTGGATGACGGGAAAGAGAAATCATTCAAAGTAAGAACAGATCGATGAATTTTGGTGTTCAATGGGCGCGGCAAAATGGAGGAAAGTTCCTTATCGAAATGTCCTTGTTGACGTTTTGATTGCGCTGAAAGGACATCATTGGGCATATTTTTTCGATCAAAAGCATAACTTTGACAAAAATTTGATTCGCTTGTTGCTCTTTTAAACAATTCTAAAAAATGAAATCGTAAGACGTTTTTAGAATTTTTATTAAATAGAAAAAAACGAAAAAAAATTCTACCTGTGGAGCAAGCGAAGATCACATCAAGCATGAAAAAAAATTTATTTACAAGACTGAAGATCATACGAGAAACTTCTTAAAAAGAAATTCAGTTTAAAAAGAAGCTCAAATGGAAAATAAAGAAACGTTTTTATCAAGGACTAGTGAAACTTACACGTAGTTTAAGAATCTCATAATAAATACTATTGTGCATCAGAAACCAAAGAAAAACGGAATAGGCTTATTATTGAGAAAAAAATCGAAGAAAAAGATAAAGATTTACAAAGTATTCACTCTATACACAAAACACGGAATGATCATTAAAAATGGTTGAACCACTCCTTTTTAGCTCACCATTTCGCTCAATGTTTTCGAAATAAATTTTAAAAAAAAAGTTTTTCTTGAAAGCTCCAATCTGAAATATTCAAAAAACACATGCGTTAAAATTTTCTTAACAAAGCTTTAATGAATCAATTATATATATCAATAGAATCGATCATACTGAGCAAGAAAAAACACAAAAAAGTTCAGTATCAGGAAATGATATGTATGCACACGATTAAGGAATAAATACAACTTTGTGAGGAGAAAAAAAAGTCAAGAAAGTTCGAATCCGGTCTCGGCATGAATCGCGTAGCGCAGTTTTTCGAGTAGCAACGACTTTTTATTGTAGTTTGGCAGTTTGAGAAGGTTGAAACAAGTCGAAGCTGAAAGAAAAAATTCGAATTTTCAACAAAAATGAGTTCAGTAACCTGTTGGAAGTCTGGAAGCTGCAGTTCCTTTCCGCAATGCCAAAAATCCTCGAACAACACTTCCCAAAGTGTCTCCTTGGTCCTACAAGAGCAGAGTACTTAGAAAAGCTTTTATAAATATAGGACCCCAAAGATTAATTTTGAAAAGTATACAAAAAAAGAAGTTAGTCGCCCTTTTCGCAGAAGAATATTTAAAGAAATATCTCATTTTTCAGTTTCGAATTCAGAAAAATTTTTCAAACTCGAATCAATTCTCTATTCTCTAAGGTACAAAGGATTCTGTCAAAAAAAGTAAAAAAATAGAAATGAATTTCAAAAACTACTTGTTTCAAAAAAAGTATGCATGGAGATCTCTAAAAATTTCAGAATTCAGTCTATTGACTGAATTCTGAAATGGAAATCAGGAAATGAAAAACGTCTTATTTTCTTTTTTTTAAACTGCTCGTTGTTTTTTTGACAAATTTGATATTTCAAGATTTTTTTCCTTCAATATTAAACTTTGCTCTATTGTCTAATCGTATTTTTAGGTACCTGATCATCCGAAACTTCCACACATCGGATAGAAAATGGAGGTTCGAGGTAGGAAAACCCGAGAAGTGGCGGCCGTGAGCAAGAGGTCACAAACTGAAGGTGAGAAATAAGAAAGTTTTAAGAAATAATGTCTTATTTTTCTTATTCTACTACATTTTTCACGACTTGAAACGGCGAGATGCGGCACTTTTAACCCAGACGCGAAACAGTTGTGATGCGTTTTGGTTTTCAATTATTCATTCGCTTCACATTTTCCATACCTTCAAAAACAGTCTTCGTTCCTCAGCATTGAACTTGTTCTCCAAAATGTCCCAGAGCCATTTGATAAGTCGATGGCTACTGTGGAACCCACCGTAGTACTGAACATGGCGTTTCAAGTCGCTCAGGTCGATATCACTGTTAATTGGAAAGAGATTGATACAAAAACCATGAAATGTGAGATTTACGTGTTCTGGCCACTGATGAGGCACTGGAGATCGTGGGGACCGAATAAAGAAAGCCAAGAAGGTTGCAAGATCGATTGCATGCCCTAAAAGCAAAAAATGCAACATGAAAGGTGAGCAAATTGAGAAAAAAATATTAAAACAAGTTCAAAAATGAAAAATGCAAAAAAGTAACTATCTAACTTGTGGAAAAAAACAGGTCAAATGCCCAAAAAATTTTCAAAAGTTTGAAAATTCTCATTGGTCGGGTGGATTTCAACACAAAGAAATTGAAGAATGAAAACTTTCTGAAAAGATTGAAGGAGCATCGTTTGAAAATGAGAAGTTCTTTCAACTAACCATTCTTTTTTTGAAACGAGAATACAGAATAAAGCTTGCACTGTACAAAACAAACATTATTCCTTTTTTTGGATTTTGAGTCTGTTTTCCATTTTCTGATGAAAACTTCTTCTGGTTTCTCTGATTTTCAAGGAAGAAAATTTGATTCTCTAAGAAAAAAAATGAGGAAAAATTTCGAGGGAATCAAGTACGGAAAAGGAAAATCCATTCCTAAAACCAGTAAGAATTTCAAACCTCAACGAAAGCTTTGCACTGCGCCTGAGTTCTCTTGAAAACCCGGTGATGAGCCATTCGGTGGACGTAGTCGATCCTGCGAGAAAAATCTATAGCTTTTCAAAAATTCTGCTTTGAACTTCTTTTTGAATCCCAAAAGGAAAATATCATTTTTAAGGTCATAAAAATCCTACTTATTCTCGTTGGTAACAGGAATCGTTCGACCACTTGGAACCAAATCGACAGTAGAAATCTGAAGTTCAGCTTTTCGTAATTATAAATTATAATCCAGTCATAACAGTTTACTGTGGTGATCAAAGAAACACGGCTAGAATTTCCCCTACGAGACCTTCAAGGACTTCACTTATGCCCCTTTAAAAACCACAGAAAGGTGTTGGGAATAAAACCAATACCTTTCCCAAAAAATCCTCGTCAGTGGAAAAGGTCAAGGAAAGGTCGGCCATGTCGCCGTCGTAACGCTTAACGAAGGTGAGACTACGGTAGAGCTCGGGATCGAGTTGGGCCAATTCGTCGAAGGCGCAGAGTCGGTGTCCTCCCAGGACCTGTAGGAGCTTAGTCTTTCAATTTCAGTTCATTTTGACAAACAGCGGCTAGAAGAACGGGAGCCAACTGGACATCTACCACGATTCCCTCATAAACCGCCTTGGCCAGCATCCGTCCGATGAATTGGAAGAGAGAAAGATGGTCTTCGTGAAGGGAAGACGTCGGCGAAGGGTACATCACTCCAGTTGTAGTCGTCTGCAAATTATTGATTAAACATGCAAATTTCAGCGTTTCTTTCAGAAAAAACGTGACAATCTTTCGATTCAGGCTTATCACAAAATCTTTTTCCTTTTCTTTATATATTTAAATTTCAATGTAAGAAAAATGATAAAAAAATTGTTATTAAGATTCAGAAAAAAAGTTGAGGATTTT